AAGTAACTTCCTGTATGTTTGAGAATTGTGCTCCCTTAATAACAATGAAAATGAGTCTTTTTTGGTTATAAACTTAGAATAACATTGAAAAAAAACTCTTAATTTTTTAGTGAAGCAGCTCTCAAAAACTCTTATATTTAAACATTTATAAAAGAATGTACGGTGTCACCTAAATTTATAATTTTCATTTATGATAATTATTAATGACTTCTCAACACATAATATATATAAAGACAAAGGAGAGTTTAAACAATATTGATGTAACTTTTATCAATTATTACACTGCTCAATAATTTTATATTAAATGCGTAATGACACATTAGTTGTTGAGTATGTATACTCATCCAATGCATGTGAACAACAACAACTCACACCACATCATATACATACTCAACAATTAATGTGTTGTTGCGCATTCACCTATGAAGATGTCCTAATACATTTGAGCAGTCTAAGTGATTTGATCCTACTGAATCAACCTCGATCGCTTTCATGTCATACATGCATATTGGATCCACAGCTAAAATGAGATACCAATCCCTTATCTGATTTCTCAAGTGTCACCACTTACACCAGGAAAGTTTGATTCCATTGTCAGGACTAGTATAGTTGGGTATAAACATACCACTACCTAGACATGCATTACCAAGTCATATACATAATTAGCTCACTAATTATCCACAAGTAACGACACAACCTTTCCAATAATCAATTAAGGGCGATAGTCCTCAACTTTATACTTTACTCTACATTAATTAAGGACCTAGAAGAGACTCAACAGAAATTCACTCCAAGAGTTTCACACCTACTTAAGGAGGGTTTTCAACAATTGGCCTCCTAAAGCACTAAAACAAGATTCCCTATATGGGATCTTCAACTTTATAAGCAACATCCTCTCCTCTAATCCTAAGCCAATTAATATACTTTATTACCTGCAACATTCTTAGCATTAACACCTCAACATACATCTTCTATATACATTATCCCAGGTTAATGCATAAAGAGATCAAATTACACCAATCATGTATAACATACAAATGCTTAACACCTCAACCAAGAATAACATATCAAAGCTCAACATGTAACTCATGTACAACATACCAATGCTTACCAACTTATCCATGTATAGTATATCAATCATACATAGCATATTCATGTTCATCATCATTTAAACTACACAAATATAACATATCAATGCTTATTGTCATCATCTTATGTCACACAATATGCAATAGGCTTAAGCATTCTATTCATGTTCACCATATAACATTTAATTATCAACAATTAAATCATCATCATACATTATCGCATATTAATGTATAATCAACATAGAAGGTATTAAATTAAACCTCCATTCAAACATCTAACTTATACAACAAAGAAGGAACTAGGCACTTTAAGTGTCATGAAGCTTTGCTTTAGAGCGAGCCTAAACAAAGGGCACTCCTAGGGGCCTCAATTTGGTCGCTTCAAGTGACATCATCCTCGCTCTAAGCGACAAAACTTGCTTAAAGCACTCAATAATTCATTTTAAGCGAGTGAAGTTAGGGACCACCCCTGAACTTCCACCTCCACTCATTCTAAATGAGTGAGTCTTCACTCTGAGCCACTGAAACTCGCTCTAAGCGTCCACAATTCGCTTTGAGCGAATTAAGTCAAAGACTACCCCTAACTTGATCACACTCGCTCGCTTCGAGTGACCCTATGGGCGCTTTGAGCAAGCAAGCCTAGAAATTTGTATAATCGAAGCTTAAGAACATCAACCTAGCAAACCACTTCAATAATCCAAAAATTCACCCAGCCCATACATCAATTCATTTATGCAACTCAATAATTCATATATATGTCTTCCCAACAACTCATTTTACCCCAATCCCACCACATGCAACAACAAAGTCTTTCTAGATCATCAAAATCAGCTTAGCCACCTCAAGAACATCCAAACCCACCCTTTCACCATGCAAAATTTGCAAATTTAAACCATTCACTCATTCTTGATTAGAATCATCAACATTCAATCAAATCACCTCATTCACAAATAGGGGCGGGTATACGAACCGCGGGTCTAAATAATGGTTCAAAAAAATAAAATTTTAAAAAATAAAAATACATAAAATTAGAAGAAGAAAAAAAATCTTTTTTTATTTATAAACTAAATTTCATCACACTAAAATTTATCAACAATTAAAATAATTTAAAATACTAAATATTAAAATATTAAAATAAAAATAATTACAAATACTTATATAATAGTACTAAACTTTCAATAATGAAAGCATCAAAGCGTCATAAAAATAATTTAAATGACAAATACATACTAATTAAACATAGTTTTAATGTCATAATAATTTAAAAGATTACATACACAACTTAATATTAAAATTTTAATATCTAAAAATATTAATTAGTGAAGTTCTCTTCACTAAAACACATTCTTAATATTAATTTATTTTATTAAATTCAACATAAATTAATTAAAAACACATTTTTCTTACACTTCTCTTCTATTAGTAATCTCAAAATTTTCTCTATCTTTACTTCTTTTATCTTCTCTTATTTCTATTTTATTAGATTTTCTTTATAATAAAAAGTCTAAATTAGGATAAGATTCGATTATACAAAATCAAAATCAATCATCAATCTATTTAAGGATTTCTAAATGGATTATATATAGATCACTTACCTATTTCCAATACAAGTTTACACATAAAAATAAAAAAAAAATACAAAAAAAAAATTAATCACAGATCGAAACTATAAGAAACGAAAAGATTTAATAAACTGTACAACTATTGTGGGATTTAAAAAAGAAGTTACCTGTATTAATTATGAAACTTTTTTTTACCAAAATATTGGTAAGGCACAACCTTCCCTCAGACAGAGTCTTTCAAATCATCTCTTCTCCCCATCTTCATACCGTGAAAATTGAAATCTAATTGGTGGATTTAAAAAATGCAAAATTAGGCATTTGTCAATTTTCTTTTCATGCTTTTTGAGAAATTGATGAGTTTCAAACGTGTAGGAGATTCATGTTACCCCTGATGACTGATGACTGATACCGTCCATGAGCATTGGCAAATACACAATTTTGCATTCAAATTAATCGAATCCAACGTACTAAGATACTTCCAAGTTCCAAATGGCAGGGGCACCGCTAATACTTTAATTTAATTATCTAACCTTGTATATCACAAATGCAAGTACGACAGCCAAAAGAGGTTTCCCCATACATACTTTTTTTTATTACAAATTTTATCAAAAAGGAGTATTTTAATAATTGTAATATATGAACAATATAAAAATGTTTTATAAATAAAATTAAGTATATATAATGGTATGCTTATAGTTTATCTAGTTAGGGTCTTGTTTGAATATTTTTTCATAAGTATTTATAGAAAAAATAAGAATTTATTAAAATGAAGCAAACTTTTCTATAAATTAAAATTAATTTATGTTTAAATTAAAAATTAACTTTTAAAAAACTTATTTATTTTTTATTTTTTTATTTTTTACAAGTATTTATTAAAAGAAAAACTTTACAAATATGACCTAATAATTGAACTAAACAACTTGTCCTTGTCCTGTTGAAGTTCAAATCCATGTTATGGTTTTGTGGTAGTAAACCAAAATAAGAAAAAGACAAAGATATGGATCGATTGATATTTTTTAGAAAAAATATTAGGTGGTCGCGGAATTAAATTTATCTATTAGTTATGTACTATTAAATATGAATTACATCATCAAGAGAGTTTTTCAATTAAAATCCAGTTAGGATCCTTAAAATAAGATTTCAAGGTTTGAATTTTATGAATTAAAAAAATTGTAATTAAAATGAAAGAATTCACTAAAAGTGATAGTCTTTTTTTTTTTTATACATAAATTAATTTATACTTATATATAAATGTAATTATTTATTTTTATGTACATAATTTTTTTGACTGTTTTACCTTTATAAATTATAACAATCTATAATTCATCCAAAGCTCTTCCTCCAATCACTTATTTTATTATAACCATCTGTATTTCTATTTTTTATTTTTTAAAACATAGAGAGGTTCAAAGTAACTTTTTTATACTAATTATAATAAAGTTCATAAATATTTCACATTAATAATATAATTAAAAGTAAAAAAAAACTATAAATTACCTCATAATTTGTATTAAAAATGTAACTAAAAGTTAGAGACGTCGATTACAAAAAAAGACAATCGAAGATTTGAGGTAATGCACACCCAATAATGGTACATAATTAGGAATTTAATTTACTTTTAAAGTTTTATTTCTCCTGATTTTTTTTACACTATTGAATGTAAATGTCATATCTAAATTACTCTATTCATCTTATAATAAATGTTACGAACAAAACAAAATCAATAAATAGATACAGTAAAACAACACTTTTTTAAAAATATTATTAAAAGCATAAATGAAAAAAAAATCCTACATTAAAAATTAAAAAATGAGTTATTTTAAAATTTAATTTCTTCTTATTATTATTATCATCAGACGAAGATAGTCTATTATTTTAGCATACGTAAAATGTATTAAGCAATCCAATTGAATTAGATAAAGAATACACGAGTTACTATAAATGTTCCATTTGGATGAATTAAAAAAAATTAAAGAAAGAATGTGTTTATTAGGAGGGCAAACAGTGAAATATCTTATCCCGAAGGATTAAGTGAAGTGTGAGTAAATTTGATTGGGGAGAAAGCTTAACGTAAGAAGATACAGTATAGTATGGTAATAAATTAATTGTATAAACTTAAAGTAGGTTTAAAGTTGGTACGACGCAAAAATAAGTAGAAAAATTAATGGGAGGGTTATACACTTATACTAGAAATCGTAAAGCAGAGAATCATGGAATTTCACGTAAGTGGATAGTTGCCAACGTTATCTCCACATGGCATGTTGTGAGTGGGTGTTGGGATATTCTAATCAATCTTGTCCCAGTTGACCACTACCTTCGTGTGCTAACACAGACACATAGATAGATATAATATTTGTAACACATGTCTCGGTGGCAACCTCAAACTATCACTACTTCTTCTTCTTCTTCTTCTTCTTCTCTTTTGTTACTGTGAAAGACCCTTTAATGGAACTGACTCTGAGGCTCGCTCCTTCGCCTTCCACGTCGTCGCTTCCAGCAGCACTTGCTAACTGCTCCAAGCTGTGTGAGTTTCAGCCAAGGAAGAAGAAGCTATCGTGCTTCGACGCCGTGACTAGAGTTTCCCTCTCTGTGCGTTGTGTGAAGGCTTCGGCTGAGCGAACCGGTGACGCAATCGACGATGGGGAGACTCGGAGCGGCTTCACCACACCTGCCATGGAGGTCACCACATTCAATCACACCACTTTCAACGACGCTGACTTTCCCGTTTGGGAAAAGATTGGCGCTGTTGTTAGACTCAGTTATGGCATCGGTCAGTGTCAAACTTTTCTGCTCCAATTTGTTTTAGGATTGCTTTCTTGAGCAGTAAAAGTGTCTGCTTTAGGCTCTGTAGCTTCCAAAAGAACAAAGATGCGCTTTAAATCAATGAAAATGGAAAATTTGATTTTATTTTGTTGTAGATTGAACTTTGGTTTTTCACTTGTTTCAGGGATTTACGGTGCCATGGCTGTTGCGGGGAGTTTTATATGTTCGATTACGGGAATTGACTCTCTTGGGGGGTTTCATCTTTCGTTAGATGCCATTTTGGAAGGGCTTGGATATGCGGCTCCTCCAATTATGGCCCTTTTGTTTATACTCGATGTGAGTTTGTTCTTTCATTTATGCTATCATGTCGTATTTGTGTTTCAAATTTTTAGAAACCCCATCCATACTTGTGTAATAAAGGGAAAACTTGTTGGTGTCCTCTTTTGTAAAGCTTGAAATTAATGAGATGACGTGGTTATTAATAGGATGAAGTGGTGAAGCTATCACCCCATGCCCGTGCCATCCGAGATGTAGAGGATGAAGAACTCTGGAGTTTTTTCTATGGGATGTCCCCTTGGCAGGTAAGTAATTTGATAAAACTTTGCATACTGAATTGTTTGCAATCTAGTGCAGTGATGAGGAAGAATCTAATATTCTAATTGATTTTGCTTTACAGTTTATACTGATGGTTGCTGCAAGTTCAGTTGGAGAGGAACTCTTCTATAGGGCAGCTGTTCAGGTTTGTATATGCCAAGAGATGTATGGAAAATAGTTTTTGGATGAGCTTAAATTTGGGAATAATGAACTATGTATTTTGGGTTTTGATCCATCTATAATGAATATTTCTGAATAAATGTTGGTTCAATTCAGATGAGTTAGATGTTGTACTGTCTAAAATGAATAATTGATAGCTGTTAAAAATATGCTGCACAGTTCACCAAGTGTAGGAGGATTCTATATTTGAACACTGTAGTATAGAGTTCTATAAAATCTTCCATCACTAAATACATTCCATAGTTCACTGGGATTTCAGAATTTTTTATTTGAAAAATTAGACATTTTGACTGATCAAATTTCACACCATATGACTCGCCTAATTCTTTGGTTGTATTGCTTTGATTTTCATCTTACTAATTTCTTATTGCAATTCTACAGGGGGCATTGGCTGATATATTTTTACGAGGCAGTAATCTTATAACAGATGCTCAAGGAATGGCATCCTTGGTATGTGTACCATTTTTTTAGTTGTCCATTATCATGTTATAAGGGTGAGCCTTGCTGCAATGATAAGTTTGCATTTGCACAATGGAGGGAACCTCATGCACTTGACAACCCATTATTCCTTTTACTTTTTATAAGTATTCAAAGATAAAAGCTTCCTTCATTTGCTAACTTATGATTTGTATGGTAAATTGTAGACAGGGGTACTGCCTCCATTTGTTCCATTTGCTCAGGCATTTGCAGCAGTACTTACAGCTGTCCTTACTGGTTCTCTCTATTACATGGCAGCCTCTCCTAAAGGTTACTTTGTTTGTTGCCCGTTTTGCATTTTCCCTACTTTCTTATCAGCCTCGTTAATGATCGCCACTCCTAATGGTTCTTTCTTTTTTCTCTTTCATTCAGATCCTACTTATGTTGTTGCACCTGTTTTACAATCACGCTCTGGTCGTCAAGATTTGAAAAAGCTATTTGAAGGTTTGGATACTATAATCATTTCATATCTTTCTTATTTGTAAACATGCTGGACGAGTTATAATTTTTTTCATCACTTGATTTATATTATTCTTACAATAAAGTTGCAAGTACTTAGATTTGCCGTGTTGAGAAATGCTAGCTATTCTTTTTCTGATACTCTCTTGTTAATACTTTTCATTATTAGTTGAAAATCTTATATTTTGGTGGATCTCACCATTACATTAGGAGAGAGATTCATTAAATGAAACATAGGATAATTAGGATTTCATAATTTATGATTTTTAATAAATTTTAGTCAATTATAAAGAGAGTGTCATTAACTTTCCTGTAACAGTATTTATTCTTGTTTTAATGAGCATAATTTTTCATCTGTCTAAACACAAGACTTGGGGCAAATTTTGAGTTGTTAATTTACTAATGATGATGCATTTGATGAGGTGAATATTTTTGAACAGCATCAATTGCCATTTGATTTAAAAACAGATGGAATATGGCAATAAAGTTCCATTTGAATATCCATCTGTGTCATTAATTAGTAGGCTATGACGTTGTTTAATCTGAGCCACTTTTATTTATGGTGTTCAGCCTGGTACGAGAAACGGCAAATGAAAAAAATCTATTCCCCACTTCTGGAAGGATTGCTGGCCCTATACCTAGGCTTCGAGTGGATCCAAGTAATCCTCAACTTCACCTTTTATTTATTTGAAAAATATTTAGTGTATTGTCTTGTATTTGAAAGGCAGAAACTAATTTGTTTTTTGTTTGGAATGGCTACATGACAGACGGATAATATTCTTGCTCCCATTATAACACACGGCATATACTCCACAGTGATATTGGGACATGGCCTTTGGAAGATACATGACCACCGGCGTAGATTACGTCAAAGAATCCAACAACTCAAATCAGAAGAAAAACCTCCAACTACATTTTGAGATATACTCCATCACTGATTTTGGATAAAAAAACAATTGTATATTAGAGATGTTAGATGTTATATAAAGAGAATATATGTATACTTGTGGTAGTTTTGGCCTCGTACATACAGAATATGCAGGCTTTTTTGACTTTTGATAACGGAAATTTCGAAATAAGAATTGTAACTTTTTTCCCCTAATAAAAAGGGATAATCCTGAAGTGATTTTTTTTTTCCTCGACCCCATTTGAGGTTCTGTTTAGAATTTTAAAAGGACCAACGTTAAATTTGTGGAGCTTTCATAAACTCAAATCTTAAATTTATTAAGAGTTTAATTAATATAAAAATAATACTAAAAAAAATGTGAATGCCATATGTGAATGAAACAATACTTCTAACCAATTTTTTTTTTTTTGAATATATGAACTCCATAATAAAGAAAAATAACAAAGTATTCTCTTTCCAAATATTTAGTTTTCTTAAATTTATGTCGTGTAAAAAAATATTTCATAGATGTAAATTTGAACATTTTTTTAATATTTCACTGTGTTAGTTTGTTTAAAATTTTTAAAAAGTAATTTTTTTAAATAGATAACATTTGTTTCTTTATAAAAATATTATTTTGTTTTTTTATTCATATAATAACAACTTAGACAAAATAAGAATTACTTATTTTAATATAAAAAAATATTTTTTTTAAAATTAAACAAACTCGTTGCCTTGTTTATTAAGAAACAAATGAACGGTTTGCGCTTTGCAGAGAAAATGCTTACAAATATCATACATAAAAATATTAGAAAATCACTTTTTTTTTTTAATTTCATAAGAATTAAAATGATAATAATAGAATTTGAATTTAAAATCTTTTGTATTAGACTTCTGGTTCCTTCCACTAAACCAATCATAATGGTTTAATCAAAATTGTATATTAGACACAAGTTTAGTTACATAATAAAAAATGACAATTACAAACATTATTATCACATTTTCTAATTCTAACACAAACTTGTTCCTCATTTAGATCGATTTCAAAGTTAGATATATAATATATTGAAAGTCACATTTTTCATTAGTTGGGAGAAGTTTGTCTTTCTTCATTCGATCAATATTAAGTTACTTTGTCACAATATTCATACTATCATTCCTTTACATTACTACTAAAACTTCTCCAGGGTCAATCCAACATATTATTAGGCCTAAATAAATCTTAAAGTGTGATTTTTTTAAAATGTAAAAATTGACTTTTAAGTTATGAAACCTTTGAAAAATTTATATAAATATTAATATAAAATATATTTTTTGAAGGGGGTTTAAAGCGATGGCTTTGTTGACCCCACCCTTGATTTGATCCTGAACCTCTTGCAATGTGCCATGATCGACTACTACTTCATCTTCCCTTCTAGAACCCCCACACATCTCTACTGCATGAACCTCAACCAATTATAGGAACCCCTTTTGAATACTTATGTCACATGAAGCACACAAACTAAGGATGACAAAACAAAACAACCCAACCTATTTTGGGCCACCCCACAATTAACTCGCAAAAAACAAATTGAATTGGGTTTGGCTGCCAAAAATAAGCTAGGCCAGGCTAGTCTGCCAAATGAAAACAGAACCAGACATCCTAGCTCACGTTGTCTAAGGCATCGGTCTGCCAAAAAAACGTACATAATAAAAAAATTGCATATTTATTTTGAGTATCTCTTTCAATATATTTCTTTCTCGATATCTAAAAAATCTACATAAATTAGTGTACTAAAATAAAATAAATTTCAAATTACAATTGATTTAATTTAATTTACTATACAAAAGATCTCAAATTCATTGCATAATAAAATAGATATAATAATAATAACTCTTTTAATAAATTTGTTGGATGAAAAATCTTAAATTACATATAATAAAATAAATCAAATACATAGCACATTTATTGTACAACAAATTATAAATGTTTCACATAATAAATTTCATGTAACTTATTTAAACTTAATATTAAAAATAAGATAATAATAATATATAAAAAAATTAGATAGACCTACGAACCAACTGTCCTAACCCACTATTTGACCCAATGGATTGACAGACTAGACAAGACGAACTAGTAGACCAAAATATCTAACTTTGTCTATCAATTTATGACAAGCCAACAGTTAAAACTTGTTTTGCCATCTCAAACACCAATCTTACTAACCCTAATAATAATGAAAATTGTAAATGTTTTTGTTAAGAGACAGTAGTTTAGTAAGAAAGTTTAGTTAATAAGTAAGTGATTTCCTTTTTTAAGGTTTTCTAATATGATAGAAACTTCAATAATATTGATCTAAATTACAATGCCAAAACCCCTTAAATTATAAAAAATATTCTAGAATTTTTCTCCACTAAAAAAATGCCGCGTCAGATGGACGTTGATCACATTAGTAAAAAAATAATAACACTAATGCATAAAACTGACATAAACTCTTTTTTTGTTTTTTTGGGTACAGGGACATAAACTCTGTTTTGATCTGACCAATATATTTGAGAGATCAAAATAAACCTTTTTAAACTAGGAGACTAAATTAAACCAAAAAAAATCAGACAGGGAACCAACATTATATTTTGGCCAATAAAAATAAAGTGAAAGGAACGTTAAATTTTCATGGGATAAAAAGGTAATTTTCGCCGGAGAATTTATGGGGATTAAACTAGTTTCGCCGATCATGCTGAAGAAAAGTTAGCAACAGCGAACTAATCCTCTATACAGTTTAACAGTTGAATTATGTTCATATCTCACTAAAAACATCTTCATAGCCCACGAGACACCAGTATTATTGGTTCCTAAGCTATTCTGAATCTTCCAATTGAGAGATGATCCTGGCGAAGACTCCATATCCTTGGGACATGTCCGTAAAAAGGCAGTACTCATTCTTGGCATGGTAAGTAACCATTAGGCCTGGAGATAACGTGAAATACAATAAGGTGCTTTAATTATTTTCAAACATGTTTGAATGAATTTTTCTTTAAACATTTACAGGAGAAAAAAATAAGAAGACAAAATGAATTGAGCTTATTTAATGATCTAAATCAACTTATTGAACCTTAACTTTTAGCAAAGTTGAAAAAAAGAACTTCTATGTAAGTTAAGAGCATACGTTGATTTTAACTTTTAGGAGAAATCCGATTCATTTTATCATCATATATATTTTTTTTTCATATATAAGTTTATTCAACCAGGGTCTAATAAATTTGTTTTTAGGCAGGTCATACCATAGCCCGAAGTTTGAACATCAAAACCTTCATCCTGTGACACAGAGAGGGCTTAGGTAAGGAATGTGAGTAATACAAACGGTTTTCATGAAACAATGGTAATATATTTTCACCTGTAGTTCCCGAATGAGAGGCAAACTCCCAGTAATTGAGTAAGGCTTTACATGGCCAACTACTTCTTCAGTTGCTTTGCATAAAACATGGAAACCTCTAGAATTAAGATCACAAGCAACACCAGACAATGCCTCGTCAAAAGTCAAAGTAAGGCTGTAAAGACGAGCAAGGGAACCCTAATTAGTTACAGATAATCTCTAGTTAAAGAAAATGACTCTATCAAGGGATTGAGAAAAAATATCCGATCATTAAGGTCTGTTTAGATAAACTATTCTAAAGTCATTTTTAGGAACGGAAAATAGAAAGAAAATTCGAAAAAAAATTTTCCATAAGCTAAAACTAATTTATGCATGAATTAAAAATAAGATTTTGGAGAAGTTGATAAAAAAAAAAACAAATAACTTATATATAAGCTAATTTTAGTTTATTAAAAAATTAATTTCATTTTTTCTTTATAAATTTCTCTCTTAAAAGTGTTTCTGAAGAAATTTACCTAATCAGACCTAAATATTCCAAAGTAAAAAGTATGAGAATTTGAATTTGAGATTGCTGTTCAAGGGGTATAGATAAGTCTCACCTTCCTTTTATGTTTTCATCAGGTAGGACATATTTTGAAACTGGACCCCTTGTTTCTAGTTTTTGTATATTCTCATTAATATTGTTCACGTATTCTTGCAGCTTCTTCATTACATCCTTGACACTGATCGAAGTATTAGGGCATTGGATAAGAATATTCATAAAATAATTGAAAACACTCCCTCTATAAATAATTAATTTGCAACCACAATAGAATAGTAGAAGAAAGAAAAAAATTTGAACCCATAACTTCAAAAAACAAAGAATTTGGCCATATTGAAAGATGAAGCTTACTTGTAGAATGGAGTTAACCTGCAACAGACAAACAAAAGAAAAAATATCTGTAAAGCCACCACAACATTCCTAACAAATGCCTTGAGTTATACTACGGAGGAGAATGAACCTGACATCTCCTGAAATAGTACATTCCCCTGGAATTTGGTTTATTCCACCTCCTGGATCTGCAGTAAAGATATTATAATTATGAAAATTCGTACGTTTTGTTCTTCATTAAAAAGGAATCGTGAAAACGGTTACTTGGAGCCCATAACTTACAACTCCATTGTGTTGGTTTCATGGTTGAAGGGGTTGCAAACCCATAAACCTGTTCCCGAGGATGAGGTGGAAAGTCATGGTAAAATCGTAACTGAATTTCCTTTAGAGCATCCATGGCTAGCTCCAGTGCATTTATAGCCTACAAGTAACCAAATGTAAGATGAGTTTTACAACTTTGATACTTACAACAAATATGTATTGATTGCAACTCGTGCCTCACATTATTATTCCTCGTCTCTATAAACTTAAGGATACTCCCTCCGTTTTTTATTCATAGTCGTTTTGGTATTATTTTCTTGTTCTTTTTTCATTGTGACTTTTCTAAAACTAATGACTTATTAATTTTCTTTTTCATTGTTACCCTTAATAATTAATGTGTGTTTGCTGAATAATGTGTCTATTTATTTTCTAATGTACCTATTTCTTCTCCAACCACCTAATGAATAAAACAGGAAAATAAGTAATAAATACTTTGAAAAACTAAAATATCAATCATTTTCTTAATTATTGTACATAACCTTAAACGTAAAAAAAAAAAACCGGAGGGAGTACATTGTTTTGCTGACACCATTAATACAACTATCTGTTTGGAATTTGGATACTTGGTCCAGTTCTCGAGCAGCAGGCCCAAGAGAAATACAAAAAGAGAAAATTGACACCTTTTTTTTCTTCTGAAAGAATGAATACCAAGCAATTATAGTCTCTGATATATACACAATC